ACCTTTTCTACGGCCTTCCCTACGGCCTTCCCTATGGCCTTTCCTACGGCCTTCCCTAGGGTTTTCCCTAGTGGAATCCCCTACCTAGTCTTTCCTACCCAGTCCCATTAACCTAACCACATTCCATAGCTGCTCTGCGCACAGGTCTGCTCTCGGAGATGGCGGAACCCATGGTCTGCGCACACGCGAGCACACACAAGCATTAGTTGCCGCGCTGGACTTGGTCACCCTGTGGGAGGATTACGGGATTGTGGGTGACATCATTGTAAGTCTTGCTCGTGTTCATGATGTTGTACATGTGCTGATTCATGGAGAATGTGTTTATAGCCATTCACCAATGATTTCCCGCGCGCCGATATCAATCAGCTCATGACCCCCGACCTTTTGCATCAAATTATCAAGGGAACTTTCTATGACCATCTGGTGACGTGGGTGCATGAATATTTGGTGCTCGAGCATGGAGAGAGTGAGGCCAAGAAGATTCTTGACGAGATCGACCGCCGGTACGTGTGCAAGCTCAAATATCATGAGAACAGTCTGCTTATCAAATCGTATAGCATAGCTGCTGTGCCGCCCTTCTCGGGACTGAGGCGCTTTCCCGAGGGTCGTGACTTCAAACAATGGACGGGTGATGACTCAAAAGCCCTGATGAAGGTACGGATACCTGTCACCTGGCATTTGCGCTTATCTGACAAAGACTGTCCTCAGGTTTATCTGCCTGCCATCGCAGGTCTGGTACCCGCTGACATAGTGCGAACATCCTCAGCATTCCTTGAGTTCTGCTATCTAGTCCGACGCTCTACTCTCACAGAGCGCACACTACGAGAGGTGTCGGATGCGCTGGGCCGCTTCCACGACTATCGCAAGATCTTCGAGACAACAGGAGTACGCTCTGACGGGTTCTCTTTACCCCGGCAGCACTCCCTCGATCACTACCTGCAGCACTCCCGCAAGTTCGGGGCCCCGAATGGCCTCTGCTCGTCCATTACCGAATCAAAACATATAAAGGCTGTCAAGGAGCCATGGCGCCGATCGAACCGGTTTGAAGCACTCGGACAGATGCTTCTCACGAATCAACGCCTCGACAAGTTATCGGCTGCGCGCGAGGACTTCTCTGCGAGGGGCATGCTACATGGGACAGTGCTGACGGAAGCTTTGCATGAGAGAGAACGCGTAGCCACACTGGAGGCTTCTGCAGGTGAGTACTGGGCTCTTTTTCTTGGCACAAGGGCTTACTGACATTTGCAACAGCTGACCGAGCTGAACGTCGTGCATCCTACTCAGATTCGGACAGCGAGTCAACAAACGACGACGAATCATCGGATGATGACTCAAGTTCTGATGACGAGTCAAGCAGCGATGACGAGGACAGTCACGACCCCCCGGGCATCGAGGATCATACTGCGAGAGGGCCAGAATGGTGTACGCCGTGCCGCCAGTCGTAAGCGGGATGCTACCGGGCCAGTGGAGGACCGAGAGCTGCTAGCATACGTTGATCTAGCACACCGATACGTTGATCTAGCACACCGTGCAGGTACGTCCCCTCTCTGGATCTGTGATACCTCACTCATGCGAGCCTTGTAGCACAAGGATACCCGCGTACGCTTGAAGGCCTGGGAGCCTCTATTGGGCAGCCGGCACTGGAGGAGCTTGTCTCCCGCTTCCTGTTCGAACAGACCCACCGGGACGACCCCAACGCACCGAACGCTGAGGACGTCCCACTGGCCGACTGCCCAATCCACACTGGGCGTGTCTACGTCGTCCACTCTGCATCCGCCACCTTCTATGCTCCTAGTGACCTCTCCAGTATTGCGGGCATGCGCCGCGAGCGTATTCGCGCCACCCCCTCATGGCGATCGGGTCCCGGGCGCTATGACTGTGTCTTTGTGAACAACAATGACGCAGACGGATTTCGAGGGCTGCTTGCAGCACGAGTACGCCTTTTCTTTTCCTTCACTTACGAGCAAGTCAAATACCCTTGTGCGCTGGTTGAATGGTTCTCCCCTGTGAGCCAGGAGCCAGATGACGACACAGGGATGTGGATTGTTGAGCCAGACTTCGACGAGGATGGTCGCCGGTCTGTTAGTGTCATCCA